TTTCCCTCTCTGAAATTATCCGAGCGCCGTCTGCCTTCAGGGAAGAGTTACCGTCCTGTGGCAGAAGCAGTGACGGTCAGCTCAAACAGGTCGTGTGCCTGGGGACGGGGAATTCTTCAATGATTTTAGCCGCCCCATCCCCCACCCCCAGTCAGTGTTTTTAGTAACTGAAGACAAGAAAAGTACTACCCCACATAGCAAGGAGGCTTTCTCCTCCTGCAAAGAATTTGCATGTGGCATAGCTAACGGTGGGGAAGAGCAAACATGACTAACTGCTCACGTGACACAAGCCAGCACACGCAGCCACATCTCCTGGAATTTGGATACGCGCAGTACTACTCTCGAAAGGTACACTGTTTGGTTCTCGCACCAAATCTTTCCCTGGCCTGCCCTGTGGGTGTGTAATACAGACCTGCGTGGTTCATTGCTGTGAACACTGTTCATCTCTGGTTGTCTCTGAGAGGACCCATAAAAATGATTCCAGGAAAGTTCTCATGAAGGTTTGGTCTTCGGCCATGTTAGCATCATAACTGCTGTGGGCTAGAGATTGACACGGACTACCCACACCAACTTTGTTTTACCCGGCACAGAGATACCTGTGGTTCACTTACCAGTCCTCATCCCTTCAAAGGTAAGAACTTACATGGGTCAACCCGTGAAACAGCAAAGGACTGCTTGTCTGGTTAGATAGACAGCAAGGGCACTGAGGTTGGCACGAGCTGATCAGATGCTGATCCCCTTTCTTTCTGTGTTCGCTGGGCCTAACTGAGATCAACTGCTTAGTGCTTTCCACATACTAATTCCTTGTTTAAATCTAAGAATCAACTGCCACAGGTGTGACCCTGCATTTGTGGACAAAGCCATCAACGTGTGTCTAGACAGTGGTCCTCTTAGCCAATCTTTTAGTTTCAAGTAGACAATGTTTTTTTTTTTTTTTAAAAAAAAGCTATAGACTGGAAGCATGAGTCAGGCCTCATAGCTGCAGAGACTTCTTAAGACCCCCCTCGATCTTATAGTCCACATTATAAAGAGCATAACTCAAATTATAGAGAACTGGACATTCTTCTACCCCACAGCATCTCATATACATTCTGCAGATCTATAGTTTCTAAAACTATGCAGAGATCACCTGGACACAGATAACAGAAATGAGAATGGTCTCCTGTCTCAAGGAGAACACGGTGGCTCTAAGAGTCACAAAACCTTCCGAGAGTATCCTTCCAGGTTCCTTGGCTCACACCTGCATCTTCAGGGCCTCACACTGACGTCCTCCCTCCATCCCAACAAAGTAAAGAGCGGCTCCTTAGACAGCTTCATGTTCTCCCTAACCCTTTCACAGTCCGCTCCCTCCATGTTCTACAAGCTTCTCAAGGTCATCCGGTGCATCTGTCTTCCTCTCAAACTGGATTCATGCCTAAACCAAATGATACAATTTACACATGCATGTCTAAGCTAGTTGCCTCATTTTTAATCCTTGCTTTGAGGTAAAACTCATTCTGTTCTGACAAGGAATTCTTCTATAGTCTTGTGCCAGTATATATACACCCCTAATATACACAGAAAGAATGGTATTGGTTTAGTGAATAACAATATATTGCTTTACTAATTGCTATTCTTAGAGCTGCTCAATTGGGGTTGAGGGTCATAATTTAGCCAGGCCTCCATAAATAAATTTCTGCCTCATTTTTTTCCTTTATTTAAACTTTCATTCCTTTTTTCATTCTTCAGTTTGATTACTAATCATTTGTCTTTTTTCTTCCATCAAACTTAGATTAAATTTCTTAATAAAATTCTCTAGAATATTAAATAGCATTTGTTATACAGCAAAAGCCACAGCCGTTCACACCACACTGAGGATCTGTCCCATCCTCGAGTGCCTCTGAGTCTCCATACTAAGCTAGCGACTGTGCTTTTGTTGACCTTGATATTTCAGTGCTTGCTTTCCCTGGACACTCCAGATTTCTGGCCTCATCATCAGGATTTACCCCCTTCTTTATCTTTATATTGTCCAACCTTCCATCAGTTCACTGATATGACAACTTTCCTTCAAAAATGAAAATAAATCTGCCCAAATACTCTGAAATACAGTTTCTTTCTTTGGTTGATCTCCTTGGTTGGTGCAGTGATTGAATGAGAAAGGCCCTCATAGGCTGATTGGGATATTTGAATTCTCAATCACCAGTTGATGGAACGATCTGGGAAAGATCAGAAGGCCAGGCCTTGTTGGAGGAAACATACAACTAGGGTTTCAAAAAGACCCCGCCATCCCTATCCATCTCTCTGCCTGACGCTTATGGAACAGCGTGGACGCTCTCAGCTACTGCTCCAGAGTTATACCTGCCTGCTGCCATACTCCCTGCCATGATGGTCATGGGCTCTCACCCTCTGAAACCATAAGTGCCAATAAACCCTTTCTTCTGTAAGTTGCCCCTGTTGTGATGTATTACCATGGCAATAAAAGTAACTAAGACAATTAATTTCCCACTTTAAGAGTAGAGAGTGGCCTTTCTCACCTGCCTCTATACTTCTTTATCTCGTAGAACCAGTGGCCCACAGTGGCCTGAAAAGAGTTAGACAGCGTCGGCTGCGTACACGCTTCTCAGAAGTTAAGTGAATCCTGCAGCAGTCCCCCAAGGTTTCAAGATAAACATTCCCATCTTCGGCTAAGCAAATGAGTCTGTTGAAGCTTTGTGCAGAGCAGAGCTGGCATCTACTGAGCACCTCGCATATATCTGTCATTACGCCACATTAACTCGCTTAATTATTGCAAACAGCCTCATGAGTTATGTACGGTTCTATCTCCTTTGAAAACAGAAAGTCGACCACCGCCCAGAGAAAGTGTGTGGTGCACAAATCACACAGCCGCTCAAGAGCAGCAGGGAGGTTTGTACCCAGGCCCTCCTGACTTTCCAACAGCTACTTTGTGTTGTAGCTGTAGAGAAAGACACACTCTTTCTCTAACCAAACTCTACTTCTTTAAGACACGCAGTAAGATTTCCGATCTACCCTCTCTCTACGCCAGAACCATAATAAATTCACATTCTTTGTTAATGGCCCGCCATGCATTTTTCCCAGACAAGCTGGGACAAGCAAGTCATCTCATGAGCGTGCGTGCTGAAGAGGCATTTTTAAAAAGTCATTTATTATCTTTAATTCTTAAGGCTCATTGACATCTCTACTCAAATCATCTTTACACTCTAAGATCACCACTAACCGGCCCGTGCATGTAGTGAAAATATATTAGTTTGTTCTTGAACACTGTGAGCTTTGGATATTCATAATATGTTTGTGCTCACAACTTAACTATCGATGACCAGAAAACAAAAGCACTTTTAAACGTGTATATGTGTGGTTCATTCATGATTAAGAATTCAATATAAACCTAAATATAAATGTATAGATTCCCATCCACTTTCTCCCAGTTCTTAAGCATATATGTCTGCCCATTGCTATCACTTACTGTTCCTTTAATGAATCTCTTGAGCTTTCCTCTTGCTGTTGAAAATGTTTGCATTACATATTATTTATCTATTGTATTTCTGGGCAGATGTGTGGGTGTTGGTTTTCTCCTTCCCCCATAGATGTGGGACCCAGGGATTGAACTCAGATCCTGAGGCTTGGTGGCAAGTACCTTTACCTGCCAGGCCAGCTCAGTGCCCCAGTTTTACATTTTTCTGTTCATTCCCATAAACCTAGTTCGTGGATGTTTGTTCTTTTGCTGCCATGAAACCTTGCTAAATGCATTCTCCCTGCCTCGGATTGATTTAACATACTTTAATAGCCAAACGAATCTTTTTGAGGTATTGCTTTCATTTTTTTCACTCTCTTGTACCGGCATTTCCAGTGAGCATCTCCTATTTCATCAAATCTAAAATCCCCCCTTCCAGCTTCTGAAATCCATCCTCGCCCCACTGAATCTCCTTCCCCTGTACAACACCACCCCATTCAGGTCCCTTCTCTACATTCCAGTGCGCCTGTGCTATATAGATCAGACCCAGTGTTCCCCTTTGACTGCCTTGGGCAGGACCCTCTGCATGTACGGCAAACAGTGCTGAAGAGAAAGTGTGTATGGCAGGATGAACCTGCTGTGAGCAGCCAGGCCCTAAGACCAAACCAGCTTCAGTGGCTAACAAAAGCCCAAGGAAAGCAGCGCCATGCACAGGATCTGAGTTTCAGCAATGCACCTGGACAGGAGGAGGGGTAGAAAGACTGATGGAAAATGCTAACCCAGTGTTATCCTTCCACAGAAATAAGCCTGAGCCCCTTTCTGGGACTTTGAGAAGACACCAGAAATATCTGAAGTTGATGAAATCTCCGAAGAGGTTTCTGTTCTTGTCGGATGAGTACAGTTTTAGAGATTCTGAAAAAGACTAACTATCCCCATGGGCGAAGTCACTCAAGGGTCAAAGATCAGATCGTGACACGACCAGGTACCACACAGAGGTATGCAACTTCAGAAACTGTTTCTACACTGAAGGAGAATGTCTTTGTTTATGTGGGCCTGTAACGGAGGCTGAGGATGGTTTCCCTAGCTAGTTCAGAACCACTTGCTGCTGCTGCTTCTTCTTCTTCTTCTTCTTCTTCTTCTTCTTCTTCTTCTTCTTCTTCTTCTTCTTCTTCTTCTCCTTCTCCTTCTCCTTCTCCTTCTCCTTCTCCTTCTCCTTCTCCTTCTTCCCTTTCTGAAACTCAACATCCTTTCACTCAATTGTATGCAAGCCTGGAAGAGCATGTATGGAAATTAATTTTCCTACTGACTCCAGGATGCCAAAGGGGTGTCTCTCTGGAGTGGTGGATGGCCTCTCGCTATAAGCCGACATTTGTTTCTAGGAGTTCCGACTTGAGGCTAAGTTTGTTGGAGAACATGAAAGCTTTAACAATAGCCTTTACAATCTTAGGCTGTCAAATTCTGACTTGGCACGGGGTTGAGGAAAATTTGATATCATTGCTTTGAGATTCATATACAGGCCAGTGTCACCTTTGTCATCTTTGTATTTATTTGGGGGGGATATATAGCAACTCAGATTCCAGAGACGTACGAGAATGCACATCTTTCCTCTAGAGTCCTCTGTGCTTTGTACCCAGCAGAGCTGATCTCATGTTCGATAGCTAAGAAGAAGACAAATACAAAGGACACATTTAGCGAGATTTTCAACTAACCAAAAATAAAATCAGAAGTTTTAGCACCGGAATGGGCTTTACACTGACAAAACACATGATACTGCCAAGCAACACTGTACCTAAGGGGACCCAGCACATGTTCAAGGTTGTGTAGCTCCTCTGATGCCATCCTTGCTGTGCATGTCTAGCACTTTGCAAATGTGACCTCATTTGATTCCCGGGATAATCATAGGCAAAATAAGGCACTGTGGTTTTCCACATGTCTGAGTTAGCAGATTTGAAACTTCCCAAGAGGTTAAATGACCTGACAGAGATCATGAGCTAAGACCATACATACTTACATGCATGCATAAACCCATAGCCCCCCCCACACACACACACACTAGCACCACCACTACTTCCTCAGGAGCATGACATTGAAAATCAGCTTGTGGCTGGGTTGTGTGTGTGTATGGGAGTTTTGCCTAAATAAGTGTATGGGTACCAAGTGTCTCACGCCCACAGAGATCAGAAGAGAACACTAAATCCCCTTGAACTAGAGTTACAGTCTGTTGTGAGCCGCTCTCTGAGTACCGGGAACCGAATCCAAGTCCTCTGCAAGAGCAGCAGGTACTCTAAACCACTGAGCCCTCTCTCCACCGCCTGATCTCTTCATTTAGCTAAAGGATGTTGCCATGTTTCAAGAGTTATCCTCACTGGTGAGTGAATTACAGGACATAAAACGCAAAAGCCCTGTTCTCATCGGACTTACATTTTGGTAGGAATTTGTGCTCAGCAAGCCAAAAAAGTTTCTTTTATGTTATCAAAGACGATAAGAATGTAGGAAGCTGTACTTATAAGTGGGTCAGGCAAGCTCCCAGGTGATACACTTCTTGCTGACTATAGTTTATTTAAGACAGTGAACCACTTTGCCATCCAGCTTTAGACAAAGCATTAAGTTGCTTGAAACCTGTTTATATCCACTCACCTTTGGCCCGGTTAAATCTGCCTTTCCACGGGCGGTCAGTTCAGATAGAGTGTTCTCGGTCTCCATTCCACTGGTCTAGCCCAGCATACCCCATAACTGCCAGCAGGAAGAAGAGTTAATGGCTGACGACAGAGTCACACAAATAAGCTTCCCTTCCACACTCGTTTTCGTTAAGTCAATCAATCCACATCCTCCATAGGAAAGCCTAGAGGTTCACAATCTTTCGACTTTAATGAAATAATTATTTGTAGGGTGTTTGTTTGTTTGCTTTTCCTCTCTCTTTCCCTCTCTTAAGAATTGAGTTGTGCCACGTGCCTTTAGAATCCCAGTCAGGCTTCTGTCCCTAACCTATCTGGAGCTGGAAGTAATAAATACATTTCTTTCATTTTATGTATTTGTGTGGTATACACAAGTGTGTACATGTGTGTGCAGACATTCATACTTGTGCATACAGGAGGAGGGCAGAAGAAGACAGGAAGTGGCCTCCATCTGCCTAATTCACTTGACACAGGGTCATTCATTGAAACTGAAGCTCACTGTATTTTGACTAGCCTGGCAACCAGCCCCAGCAGCCTAACCTTTCTTTCTCTGATCCCCTACCTGAACCAAGATCCCAGGTGTCCTTGGCTTTCCACAGAGGTGTCAGGGATCTGAACTCAGGCCCTCAGGCTTTTATGGCAGGGCAGAGCCATCTCTCTAGCCCATGTTTTCTGTATTTTTGCTTGAACTTCCTCATTGTTCATCAGGTGACACACCCACCTCTGTCTCCTAGAGAGAGATCATCTTGTTAATGACCTCTCTCAAGAGAGACCTTAAGTGCAAATTAGAGAAAGTCCCAACAATGGTGTGAAGGAAATGAGGGAGGAAAGAAGATTTAATTATGGAGGAAATCATGTCCGGCAGGAAGACAGCAGCTATTGAGGCCCTGTGGTGGGTCTTTGCCTGCCGTACAGGGCCAGCACTGGGACATGGGGCACTTCCTTTGAGTCAGAGGAGAAGGGACATGTAAGAGATGCTTCCAGAAAGGGTTTGTAGGATGCTCAGGCTTCTTTCAAGACTTTGACTTTTCTTCTAGAGGAAAAGTCACAAATTGACTTGAGCATTAGAATGGTTTTGACTTAAGTTCTCAAAAGTTCTTGAAACCCTAAGTGTTGAAGTAACCTTGGGAGCAACATGAGACCAGGAACCAGAGCATAGATGCAGGTAGAGACGGTAGAGGAGAAGAGGCGTGGGCTCCAGACAGATTTTAAAGGGAATTTTTTTGACACTGTTGGTGCCAGGTACAAGGGAGGGTGTTTGTCATGCCAAGATTCTTGGTTGGACCATCAGAAGAATAGAATTATGAAAAGCAAATATGGAAAGACTATATGTAAAAGAATTCTGATGGAAAAGAAGAAATTTAATACAGATCCCTGTTTAGTCTGAGATGTCTGTTAGACACCAATCAGCAATATCTAGCAGGACATTTGTATATATGAACTAGGAATTGTGGAGAAAGATCTAGGAGCAGCCCCTCGTATTAACAACTAATTTTGTACTGAGAGAAATAAAATCATTTTCCACAAATACTACAAAAAGATTTTGTAGAAAAATATCTACAACACTGAGTCATATCTCATACATATACACATTAAACTAAGATAGAACACTAATGGAAAGTTTTTAAATATTCGAAAGGAGGCATGAGAGACTCTATGCCACAAAATTAAGTCAGGCTTCCAAAATATACACATTGTATAACATGATTTAATTCATACAGATTCTGAAATATAGAAAACTAAGGGTGATGTTAGAAAATCAGAGGACGAGTTAGCTCTATAGTGAAACAGAACTTACTAGAAATTACCTAGAAATTACATGAGAGGCTTCTTTGTCTTGGGTTCTGGATACACAGCTTACTTCAAAGTGGCATGTACATTCTTCTGTTTCCTTTAGCCAAAATTTTGCAGGCATCCTTCATGATAAAAGTCATGAAAAGTCAAGGAACAGAGAGAACATACCTCAACATAACACAGCATATATATAACGAACCTCTGGCCAACAACATGAAAAAAATCCTCAAAACATTCTCACTAGAATTAGGAACAAGACAAGAGAGAAGGGTGCTGCTTCTCCCTACTTCTATTTAATACAGTTCTGGAAGACTTTGGTAGAACAATAAATCAAGAGAAAGAAATGAAAAGGATACAAATATAAAAAGAAATTAAAGTCTTCCTTTATGTAGATGATACTCTGACATACATGAGACCCTAAAGATGCCACTAAAAACTCTTAAGGCTGATAAACACATACAGCATCTTCAGAAAATGATGCCGGGGAAGCTCTAGATCAGCAGATATTAAAATGAAGCATGACCTGTATCCTTCACCCTGCTCTAAACTCTCCTCCAGGGGGTTAAGAGCTTCAACGTAAGACCTGATACTGAAGTGCTAGAGCCGCGGTTTTCAGCCTGTGGGCTGCACCCCGTTTGGCCAACCTCCAAAAATATTTACATTATGATTCATAGCAGTAGCAAACTTACAACTATGAAGTAACAATGTAAGTAATTTTTTGACTAGGGGTCTTCACAACCTGAGGAACTGTATCAAAGGGCCACAGCGCTGGGAAGATGGAGAACCACTGCTCTAAATAATCCTGGTGGTTCAGAGAATAGCAACAGCAGTTGACAGCTGGGAATCTCACGAGGCTAAAACGCTTCTGTCCAGCAAAGGAATCTTTCCAGCCCTAGGTGAGGCAGCCCACAGAACGCAAGCAATCACTGCTAACTATTAATCCAACAGAGATGCATGTTTAAATATACAAAGAACTCGAAACACTAAACATTAAGGAAATAATCAGGGCTGGTGAGATGGCTCCGTGGTTGAGAGCACTGGCTGCTCTTCCAGAGGACCCAGGTTCAATTCCCAGCACCCACATGGCACCTCACAACTGTCTGCAATTCAGTTCTAGGGGATCTGACCCCTTTGCACCGATGCAAATAAAATAAAGTAAAGTTACTTAAATTAAAAAGAAAGAAAGAAAGAAAGAAAGAAAGAAAAGAAATGATTGATTTAAAAATGAGCAATGGAACTGAACAGGAGAAAAATTAAAAGAGCTGTAAATGGCTTAGAAACAGCTTAACAAGCGCTTCACGTGCTAAGCCATCAGGGAGATGCAGACTTAAGCTTCTTTAAGACTCCAATCAGAATGGCCATTATCAGGAATCCGAATACATTTATATTTGCAGGTAAATAGATGGAAGTGGAAATTCAAACGCTGGAGCCGATGTGGCAAAGGGAGAACTCTCCTACACTGTTGGTGGGCATGCAATCTAGTGCAGCACTTCAGAATTAGAATGAAGGTTTCTCAAAAAAAAAAAAACTAGATAAAAAAGAACTTCCCTACTAGGCATATGCCCACAGGACTTTATCCCTACTACAGAGACACCTATAAGCCCACGCTTATTGCTGCTCCATTCACAACAGTTAATTAGGAAACGGAATCAACCTAGATGGTTGCCAACAAATGAATGGATAAGATACATTTGGCGCATATACGCAGTGGAATACTATTCAGCTGTAAAGGAGGAAAAAAAAAGAAATCATGAAATTTTCAGGTCAATGTATCAGACTGGAGACAATTATTAGGGAGGAACCTCAGGCCCAGAAACAAAATGCCTTGTGTGCATTCTAGCTTCAGATATTCGGTTTTAGGTGTTTGGCTTGGAGTACAAGTGAAAACTGGGGAATCAGTAGGGAGTCATGAGAGGAGAGGCGCACTAAGGAATGAGGGAGTGTAGGTTACAGATTAGACAAGCGCAGAGATGTGGTTCTGGGTTGCCTCACCCAGCCTGGATGCAGGGGAGGGAGATTGCTCCTGCCTCAGCTTGATGTGTCATGCTTTGATGATGCCCTTGGGAGGCCTGCCCCTTTCTGAACAGAGATGGAGGAGGAGGGGGTGAGGAGAGGCTAGAGGGGAGCGGCACAGTGGGAAATGGGAGGATGTAATGGAGAAGTCACTATGTGTCTGAGAAAGCTTTTGGAAATCCACTAGTTACTAAGATAATCTCAAAATATAATTTTTAAAAACTGAGCTTGAAGACAGGCATCCTACATGGGTGAACCTTGATAGCCATAGGAAAAATGAGTTTTTAAATAAAAATCCCAGTGATGAGCGCGGAAATACCTCAGTATGAGCTGTTGATCGAGGTAGCCACAGAGACCTCTAAAATAACCCGGGCTATTGGCCATTTCCCTCGGTTGCCCACCATAACTACATGATAACACTCAATTGTGGTTGACACAAACCACTTTGGCAACACCAAGTAGAGAAATCGATCTCACACCCATCAGGAAACTTCCACCATTTTGACTAGCTTTTATGCCAGTAGATGCTAGGTAGGCTACCGGGGGAGAAAAGACAACAATGATCTTACCCAGCACTGGTTCCTGTATGCTACAACGCTGACTTTCCAGGCAAGACTAGTCCTCTAGGGCAATAGTGGTATAATCACTTCTGGGCAACCATTGGCTTTCACATTGTATTTGAGGCCCATGCTGCTGTGGAATGCTATTTTAAGGTGGGTTACACTTGTTTATTCTGTGGAACATCTGTTTAATGATGTAAGGATGTGTTGCTTTTGTTTACACTGCATTTATTTAGCTCTGTGAAACTGTGATTCTTGACCTGTCTAAAACACCTGATAGTCTGAAAGAGCTGAATAGCGAGGCACAAGAAAGGACAGGCGGGGATGGCAGGCATCTCTTACATTCTTTCTGCTTCCTCTTCTATCATGTTTCCTGGGCCTTGGTGGGGATGTAACTCGGGGGAGTTGACAATAATATTCTCTTTAGGGCTGAGCACTTGTAGTTACTTGTTCTCCTTGACTGATCATGAGTCTTTCACTGACTGATGCTCGAAGAAGAAAGATGCTTCTCTGACCCAGGTTGATATCAACCTACATCTACAGGTTTAAAATAAAGATGTATAGGTGGGAATCTGAGAAAATAACAACGGCAAGTTCTACTCTAGGATCTATAACATCCCAGCCATGGGATTTTAAACAGCCTTATAGTACCAACAATTCTTTCATGTGGAGTAGCGTAGATGGTTTTCCTTGTACTCTAGCCCAAGGTCAGAATGCCAAAATGCTGTTGTTGGTTTTATTACTCTTTTGATTCTTTGGGGGGGGGTCCTGCCACCCAGTTCCCAAATAAATCACACACATAGAGGATTATTATTATTTATAAATGCCAAGCCTTGGTTTGGTTTGTTTCTAGACAGCTTTGCTTAACTAAATTCTCCCATCTACCTTTTGCCTCTGGGCTTTTTCCTTTTCTTACTTCTGTATACCTTACTTTCACTTTTACTCCATGGTTGGCTGTGTGGTTGGGTGACTGGCCTCTCAGGCCCTCTTTTCCTTCTTTTCTCTTGCTCTTCCTCCTCCCCTCCTCCTATTTATCCTCTCTGCCTGCCTACTGCCTTCTTATTTTATTGTATACAAGCATAAAATCCTCAAAGAGTGGATAAGAAAATAATAAAATTCTACAAACCATTCACTTAACATCTACAAGTTTTGCTGTTGCTGTTGTTGAGTTTTTTTTAGATTTACTTATTTTATTTCTATCAGCAGCTTCCCTACAGGCATGCCTGGAGCCTGTGGAGGTGATAAGAGGTATCAGATGCTGCGGGGCTGGAGAATATGATGAATGTTGTAAGATACCACGTGAATTAAAGCCAAGTCCTCTGCGAGGGCAACAGGTGCTCTCAAATGCTGAGCCATCGCTGC